GTATAGAGGACAGCGTTAGAACCGTAGTAATAAAGTACGTATAATGCACAGGGTCATTTATTTATAATAAAGTATATTAGTTGCAGAGGAGGACTACTTAATACTCTCGTGTTATCGTCTCTCTGACTCAGGTAGAGGTGTTTAGTGGTCGTTCCATTCACGTTGGTAAAGTTTATACTAACATTACCGATTTAAGCTTTATCCGTCTTATGAACGCGAAACCTGAAAACGGACCGGAAAATTCACAGTCGTCCCGCGAGTCCGCCAATTATTGACAGGAGGACTCTGCACCGTGTCGCGTAAGTGGAGACTGTGTGGACTTGGTCAATACTTCTCGGTGCGAAAGAACCCTATCTTTACAAGTTACTGAACCATTTCGTGTAGTTGGACTGTAGGGGGAGGCAACAGGTAAGGGCAAAGGTGTTATGTGGTTTTCTGTGACTTGTGCGGTGCGTAACGAACATGTTGTGTGCCTCTTATATTAGGTAAACAGGGAACAGTGTGTTGTTCCATCCATTCTGTTCCGTACAGGTATGGTGGTGAACAGTCAAAGAGTGATGGTACGAACAGTCACTCGGACCGGGAACGAAGTAATTTGTTGGAGACGTCACTGTCCCTCCGCACGTCGTTGTGGCGTCGTGGCTCGGGCTCACCCCCCACAATCCTTCCCGTGGTGGTGGGGTTCTAGGGGGACATTCGAGTAGGTGTTTACATTCAATTCGAGATAAGTCCACCTCATGCGGATTTGTCCCTGAACCTCAGTAACGTTTCTGACGAACCGTATCAGTCACTAAACAGACACTAACACAAATTGTATACTTGTACTCGTGTTTCCAGGTAACTATCTATGTGTCTCCATGTTTCATTGGTACATCTCATTAGCTACAATGACAATGTGTCATTACATTGTACGATGAAAACAAGTACGTCATTAATGTAATGTTCAATTATTCGTTTTTACTAGAACAATGGACGAATGAAATTACAGAAGGTGAAGATGCGTTATTGCCCTCCTGTCTTTTTATTTGGCTTGCAGGGAAAAGGGAAACACGATGTGAGTGTTCAAGTACCTATTCCTCTGCCTCGTCTTTACAGTCAGTGT